GGTTAAGAACACTTTACGCTATGCTCATTTCAAGCAATCAAGAACTCCAATTATGACATGATAATGTTTCGTCTACATTAGAGGAGCTAATCTGACAGATGTTGTACCAGTAATTCTTATTTGTTCGTGTAACCACAGATCTGTTCGCATTAGGGTCGACCCTTTACGAGATTTTTCAAGGTACTAGTCCCTACGAGGAGATCTCTAGTGACGAGGTAGAGACCCTTTTTATGCAGAAAGTGTTCCCTGATGTCTCTGGTATTCCATGTGGACAAAACATCAAACAATGTTGGCTGTCTCAAGTCGATTCGGCGGCGCATGTGCGGACCGCTGTTGGAGATATCCTTTTTCTCACAGTCAATGTCAATTCTCTACCTTCATGGACCTAAAGCTAAAGTCCATAGTGACATCCATAGTTTCTTTTAACCATTTTAGTTATATGGGACGACTGCTTAGCTAAAAAAGAGTTTGACTCTCTTACATGGACGATACCTTGAATGTCATTTTAACTGACAGTATTTCTTACTAATGGCATGTTCTACACTAAGAAAGCCATTAATTGGATGCCCTGGTAATTTATATTCTCCCTTTAAGAAATGTTGACATGGACTCAAAGTAGATGGATTAGGCTGGCATGTACCAGTTGACTGTTTGCCTACTCCGTAGCTTAAATCTTCGCCCCACCGTTTCTTCACCACATTTTTGTTGACGTAACAATCTACGAGACAACGCAACAGCTCAATCAACATTGAAGTAGTAGCAACAGCGAATTCAAGATACCTACAACGTTTCAAAAATGATCGACAACGCGATCTTTGAGAATCTTCAAGCGAAGATTGACGAGGAAACTGCCGTCCGCGATGTAAGGTCCTGAGCCGCTCGGAAGCTCGACATACCAAAAGCACAAGTAATGAAGAATAGCTAACACCCACGCAGGAACTCCATGAAATTGTCCAATCGCTTTCTAAGAAAGGTTCTCTCCGCAATCTCTACCATCTGGACCTTTGATCCTCCTGATTGAGGCGAGGTCGGAAGCTCCGAGCTCAGCTGACGTACATGACTGCGCACAGGAAGATCCACACAAGCTATACTCTCCCGAGCTCACTCCACGCCATCTGATCAATGTATGTATCACTGTTCGCAAACACATATGCTCTGTTAATTGACATTGAATAGTGAAGCCGCTTCTTGACGATGCGACTAAAGAGATTATCGCTCAAAGAGATGAGGTCGCGCGGCTCAAGGCCGTGGCGGACAAGCACCCGTTCTACAAGTACAACGGGGTGTGGACGAGAGAGTTGCAGAATCTTGTTAGTCGCCTTCAGACCCGTTGCTCAGTGAGCATTGCTAAGTTTCGAGACAGGTAACGTCGATCGAGTTATGTGCGTGGCTTGGAGGGCTCGAGGAGTACAAGGGTACTGGCTCAGCTTCGTTCTTGACCATCGAGGAAGTCGGAAAGTTCCTGAACGGTAAGTTGCTCTTCCTAGTTTTGGTTCGTGAGATTAGTACTTTGTTCTGACATGGTACATGCTAGTCCCGGTCAATCTGAAAGAGCAAGATGCCTTTCACCTGACCATCGAAGAATATCTCCTTGCACTCATTGGCATGGTTGAGGAGTTGGTAGGCATTCTACTTCACCTGCCTTGCGGCGCTAGATATACTGACTCGGGATCAGTCGCGTCTAGCAGTCAACTCGGTCACTCTTGGTGATTACAACCGCCCTGTGCAGATCGGTAAATTTATCAAGGATCTGTTCGCTGGTTTCCAGCTGCTCAACTTGAAAAATGATATTCTGCGAAAGAGGAGTGATGGGATCAAGTACAGCGTACGTTGACTTACTCTCTGGTTCTTATTTGTGTATGTTTTGCTAACGGTCATGTGGCTGTAGGTCAAGAAGGTTGAAGATGTGGTTTATGATCTGTCTTTGCGCAATCTGATTCCTAAGGGAAGTGCTGCTGCTTAGATGTGCGAGATATTAGGTCCAGGAAAATGCAACCACATCGTGCAAGGTAGAAAGCCAGCAACGTTGCATTATAGGCACTGTAGCAGGCATCGCTTGGATTTTAGAAGTGCACCTCACGTAATGAAGACTCTGCAGTAGTCGAATGAAATTGCCTAACCATATCACCTATTCCAGCTCTGTCCAATAAAGCTGAAAACGCCAATCTGAAAGCTCATTCAATACTGGTATCCTAAACACGAATAATACAATCACAGGTCTGGTATCTCTGCTAATAGCCCACCATCATTCCTTCACCCCCAGCAAGACTACGACAACTTAGCCTGCTCAGTAGCCTGCTCGGTAGTCTCTCCCTTTCTCGTCGAAGCGGCAGTCCCCTCCTTCTTCGCCTTCTCAATCTCCTTCAGAATCGTATCTTCCAGCGATTCAGGCTTGGTAATACTAGCCCAGCGCCCAACGACCTTTCCATCAGCGGAAATCAAAAACTTCTCGAAATTCCACTTGATGCGCTTCAGCCCCATAAGTCCGGGCATCTTCTCTTTCATCCACGTCCACACGGGCGCCGCATTGTCGCCGTTGACATCCAACTTGCCCAGCACGGGGAAGGTGACGCCGTAGTTGACCTGGCAGAAGGACTGGATTTCGTCGTTGGAGCCGGGGTCTTGGCTGCCGAATTGGTTGCAGGGGAAGCCCAGAATGGTGAAGTCTTCGGGGTGCTTGGCTTTGATGGACTGGTAGAGGTTCTCAAGGCCTTTGAATTGAGGGGTGAAGCCGCATTTGGAGGCGGTGTTGACGACGAGGACGACTTTGCCTTCGAGGGAGGCGAGGTCGAAGGGTTCGCCCTTCTCTGTGGGTGGGGTTAGGTCAGCAAGATATTCTCAATGTTTTTCGCTGGGGGGGGAATCGCAAAGGCGCGACATACTGTCGACAGGCTTGAAGTCGTAGAATGTCGTCGCGGAGGCCATTGTTTTGATGGAATATGATTTAGGATATCCAACAAGGGAGGTTCGAGTGTTGGGAAGTCTGTTTATAAGATTTGGTCGTGAAATATATCTCAAGGAGGAACAGCGAAATATAATGGAAGAAGTTGATAATGAAGGCACTAATACCATTCTAGATCATCGGAGAACCGAGGCAGCTCGGACGTGGGCCGTCGCTTTATATTTATATAAATGCATGACCGTTGAGACCCTGAGAGGGGCGCCGTCGGACGTGAGACCATCCGATGCCGATGACGATGTCATCGTCCCATTGAGGGATAATTATCAGATTGCGGTACCGGACAAAGATCAGCGACCAATTCCAAATCATTTACTTTTAGTCTTAAGGCGGATATTGCAGTCCCGAATTCTTCTCGCTTGACCTTTTGTCATCGCGACGGTTCTAGACGTCGGATTATTGATCTCCGCAAAGGCTGGCCCAAGACTATTAACCAGATTATTAATGTTTCTGACGATTCACTCGTAGTCATTCATAGTCTAAGTCTCAAAAATCATTATCCCTGAGAGCACTGCATAATATATGTAAAGGTGGCTACATGAAGCCATCTTGTGAATTTATGCTTGCATGTGTCATGAGATTTAGAATGTTCAAGGGCACACCCAATGCTCCTAGGCACTGCCCCATTGTCTTGCATGGTAGAAATCTGGAAACCTAAATTAACCAATATATCATTCGACAACTCGCATATCAGATTTCACAGCTTTCTTGCACGCCACAGAGGAGCCATACAACCAGCAAGAATGCAAGCAAATTTCTCCCAACAACTGTCACACGACACTCAACAGTACCGTAGCGTCTTTTGGAGTGCAGAAAGGTTGATTGAGCATAGACCCCTTGGGTAACCCAACAGCATTCGGCCCATGTACTTCCATGCCATTCTCGCACTTGGTAATCTGTGTCCGATCGGACATCCCTTCTGAACTCTGGCAAGTCCAGTCGTCTGGGCCATCGCAGGAAAGACGGGCCAGTTCAGTCTAACCCGAGCCAGATCCCAGGAGCAGGAACGTAGGAAGCCAACCGGATCGCCTTGATCGATCATAGCGTGGGCGCTGCACATGTAGTCCTTCACGGCCGAAAAATGATCTGGTCTCTCATCCCTTCTTCGTGGGAGTCACATCTCATTTCTCCTCCTCTATTTCCTCACTCAAAACATCCACATCCAGCTCTTCCATAACTCCGAGAACCACCCCCAAGCTCTCCATGAAACCGTTAACAGCCACACGAAGCATGCGATTCGTCGTAGCGCGGTACGTCGTCTCAAGGACTGTCTTCGCCGCCTCGTCCTCGTCGTCAGTGGAGTTCTGAATTGGAGATTTCAGGGCAAAACTTCGGCGGACGAAGGGGGATAGTTCGGTGTCAACTTCGAGAGCTTGGAGGGCAGAGGAGGCGAGCCGGTTGCTGGGGAGGGGGAGGGATATTGTTCTTTTGGTTTTCGATTTCGTTAGTGGGGTGTCTTCACGGACAGGGACGCTGAGACAGGAATTTTACAGTGAATAAGGAAATTCAGGATTGGTTGATTCGTCGGCAGCCATGATGAAGTCAATAGGATATCGATTCAAACTGACTTTGTGAATATTGAGAGGACTACTGTTCGGTATGCTTTTGTATGAATCTTTATGTTAAGGTAGAGAGCAAGGCGGGGGAAGTTTTTGGAGTAGCAGATGAGTCAGCATACTGGTGAAGCGCAATGAGGGCACATTTACACTACATTTTCACACCACTTCAGCTACGAACTCTAGCTTGATGGTTGTCTAGGCTTTCTTGACGATTGGCTAACGAGTTGGTGCTCTATGACCAAAGCCTCTCCTACTGCTTATTAAAGATGCGTTTTCTACAGTCTTAAACCAGTTTGGACATAAAGGGTATGAAGTTGATAAGGTACTGTACATGAAGCTTATCCACAAGATCCAGCGCCGTTTGGCAGATCAAATCGAACCGAAAGCGTGAAGTTAAAGAGTCGCGCTATACACCCACATGGCCATGGTATCCCGGGGTTGCCCGACGTACGTAATGCGTTCCACAAAGGTAGGTATCGGATTTAAAGGAGACCCCCAAGGATGGAGGTGAGGGAAGCAGGAGAGAGACCACCTGTGGACGCCTTTAGTAAGCTTGGCCATCACTGTTTGAGAAGGGCAACTTACCAGCCTGGCTGACAGTGTCGAGGACGTTCTGGACACCAGCAGCGTCGAGGGCACCTAAAAGACGCAATCAGTAGATGCAAATTACGGACGGAAACAGTTACTTACCGCTCTTAACCTTGCTGACCAGGTTTTGCGCAAGGGTGTTGACGCCGACGGCTAGTTATTCTTGTTAGCCGCACTGATTTCTGCCCAAGGACGTTGACTACATACTGCCAGTAACAGTGTTGACGGCACCAGAGGCAGTGTTCTTAACGGCGCCAACAGCGCCGCCAGCAGTGTTCTTGACGGTGTCAACAGCGCCACCGGCGACATCGGTGACAGGCTTAGCAACACCCTGAACGGTGTTGACTGCGCCACCGGCCACATCGGTGACAGGCTTAGCAACACCCTGAACGGTGTTGACTGCGCCGCCAGCGACATTGGTGACGGGCTGAACAGCACCCTCAACATTGCCGACTTCGCTACCGGCGGCACTGGTCGCGGGCGCAGCAACATTGCTAGCCGTGCCCGTGATATCACGCTTGGTGGCAGCAGAGACAGGGACGAGCTTGGTCAGCTGGCCCTTGATGTCGATGAGTTCTAATGGACAGAATTGGGATTAGCGAGGCCGGACTATGCTTTTGGAGGTTTCAAAGAGGCTTTTTCGGTAAGGGACATACCGGTCTGGACCTGGGTGAGGTCGACCTCCTGGCAGACGCCGCCGAGGAGACCACCGACGAGACCCTCAACATTGTTGAGAGCATTGTTCAGCTGGCTCAGGGTGGCGGTGGCATCAACGGGGGTCTGAGGGATGGCCAGAGCAGAGGCAGAGCTGGCAACAGCCAGAGAAGCGACGATTCCAGTGAACTTCATGGTGACGGTTGGTTTTGATTAAGAATTAGGAATTAAAAGAGTGACTGAGAGTTGTGGGGAAGGAGTGGATGGTCGCTGAAAGCAGGCCTTGAAAAAGATTGACTGGAAAGAGTGGATTTGACTGGTGTGAGGAAGAAGAGGAAAACGACATGGAGTAGAGCAAGACGTCGTTTTATATGCAGGTTTTGTAGCTCCTTTTCCCTCCCAGAGCAAATCATCTTTCTCCTGTCGTGGACCTCGTCCGCTCATGAGCTGCCTCGGATTCCACATGTAGATCAGGGGCATCATGGCCAGAGACGTGAGTGATAGGCCATCACATCCCAAGCCGTCTGTTACATACGAATCTAGCAGCTTGAAGACGACAGCGATCGACACGGAGAAGTAATGTTCTCAACTCTGGTTCCATTATTGCCAGTGCTACTAGCCTAGCTCGTGTCTAGTCTGCTTGCTTCACTGGAACGTGTGMTCGGATTATTACTGAATGAAGTCACTACACTCCAACATGGCCCCATACAAGCTGATCTGAGCCCGAAGGAAGTAAGTCTTTCAGTGGCCTAGGGGTGCCCGATTGGTACGACGACTATCAAACGATTGCACCGAAAGCGTGCTATGCAGACCAGGCCTATACTAACTGGCACCGGTTTATCCACGATAGAAAGTTAAGATGCCATAGCGAGGCTTGCAGCGCAGGTATCATCATCATAGAATGTCGCGCAGGCCTGCACGATCAATTTTGCCTTCTCAGAGATGTGGACTGAAGACAAACTAGATTTTCATGATGTTTGCCAACCCATGAACACAGCGGTATAGACGGAAATGTCGGGTATTGAGCAGTCAATCCGGAGTATTTTTTCGTTTCAATGAGGAAACTTCAATAGTCGCAGTAGCAACCCAGTTGCTGGGCCTCATTTATGACCTGCGGAGGACGTTGAGGCAAACCCTGTGGGGATTTCACAATGCTTTCATTTAAAAACGCTGTCGATCCCTCATGAACATCTCCGCAGAGCCACCATGGATTGGAGAAAGAATTCAAATAAACATCAACGGATTGCTTAACTTGAACCTTGAGTGTAAATAGTGTGGATTAGCTGGACGATCGTCAGTTGGTTATTGCTGCCAACTCCCCACTAGTTGTCCGAGTCGTTAGCTCTGCAGTATTCTGTTCGGAGGATTATTATCGAAATCACAGCCTTCGGCAAGATTGAGAACGCCACAACTTTTTATGTTTCATATGACAATATATTGTCATCTATTCAGATTCTTGTTGTTTTCGAAGAAGACTCAAGGAGGATGATTGTTGACGTGAGGATGGAATCGTAGAAAAGAGGAATTGGATCTGCAACCCCTCAGGCACTAGCTACCTAATATTCTCATTATCCCTGCTGATCTGCTCCACCGCTTGGGACATCGCAATTCGACTTTGGGGAAAATATTCCAGCTGTCGAATCATGAAATGCACCAGAGCAACGACCGAAGTTTAATGTCTCTCTTCCCCGGTGATAGCCATGTCGTGAACCTTCGGAGTTGACCGCAATTGAGTTAAACTTCGCGGCTAGAGAGGGGGACCAGGTATCATATCCATTCCATTTCATAATAGACTTCGAAGACACGAGGGATTGGACGGACCCTAATTTCTTTCACGGTCTTTGTCTGTTTGGTTTGTGAGTCATGAATCGAACTGAGTAGACTAGACTACAGCCTCTGCTTCGATGGCCAGTGAAACAGTGCTGACCTATTCAAGGGAAATTGTATCAGAACTCAGGAACGGACTGAAGTCATAATCAGTGAGTACGACTATTGATGTTGTGTTAGTCAGGCTGAATTATACAAAAGAGATCTTCATGATGTCTATCATAATTTTATGTCTTTACCCATTTTCACTTGGTGTGGCGGATATCATGAGTTGATTTCAAGTGGATCGACTCAGACGCTGGATATATTGTTGAAATAAAAGACAGCACGAGAAAGAGCTGAGACTCGCTATTCTCATGGCAGATAATGAATATCCCCATTAATCCCTGGGGAGATTCAAGTACTCTGGAGATGTTGTGCTAACCTGCTAGCGATACAGCTTGGAGGTGTTATGCCTTAGGCTCCAGTCACCTACGCTTTAAGACGTGCTATCAGGAAACACATGGACTCGTTGTTCAAGGTGCAGATATCGTCCTGTATTCAGCAGCAGTGGTCATGGTCCGCACAGTTGTCTGACCAAGGACAAACATTTCTGTCCTCTAGTAGCTGTCAATACGGCCCGATAGCCATTGCGGTCCTTGCCAATGTCTTCTGTAGCTTGCACCCTTCTGACTTGCTACTCGTATTTCATCGTCCATCAGCTCATTCTCAACAAACTGAGTTCCTTGGGTATCTTGCCTCCCTTGAAATTAGACTTCCATTTCTGCTGGAGTTCAGGTTGCCATGTACTCTTCTTGTTGAGCATTCTGAACCCCGTTCCCCTGGGCAAGATGTCATCATTATTCTCTTTCTTGCTCGTCTGTACCTCACTCGACACCTAAAGCAACTGGATCTCTTAGCTATACTGGCTGATTTCAATCAGTATGCTTCCTTGAAAACAATCTCTTCCCTTTCTTCCCTTTTCATTCATACGTTCAACTACTGCTGACATGAGCCAGGAACATCTAGTCCACATCAAAATTCTCAGTCCACAATCTATTCATGTCTGGAGGAGACTACGCAAACTTATCTTGAATACCATGGGCTCGGTGGGAAAAGAATTGCAACATTCTGGCATTGGGATGCTCTGTCAGCGACATACCACCATTCTCGCCCGATGTCCTCCTCTCCCACTGAGACAGCTTCTTGCCGAACCACCCGTGTCCTGCTGAAATTGACTAACGTACACCTGTTAATCCATAAGATGGCGAACAAGCATAAGATATTCCTCGCAAGCCATCATAAAGTGATGCAGGAGCGACCACAACAGCATTTTCGGCTCGGAAAAGCACTATCGGGCTCGAACCCATACTCTTCGCGACACGGAGGGCGCGAACCGAACACAGGGTCGCAATCTCGAGGGGGGCGTTCCGCGCCAACAGACCACACCCAGTTGGTGAGGGAAAGATGGTTCTCTGAGGTACACCATGTCGATGAGCCTGATGGGGTATGTGATCGCTCAGTTCAGCCAATACAACAGATTCGAAGACGACTGCTCTAAGAGATGTGCTTAAGGTATCATTGCAATGGTGCGACAGATGGTTTATATATTCTTGTTCATGGCAATTGATCAACCAACCAATGTATCTCAATGATCAAGCTCTCCTATTGGGGAGGCGGCTGATAGCTTGCGGTTTCATTTAGCTGTCTTTATCTGACCACACAGAGCTCCATTTTAGAGGTAATTGGTACAGCAACATGACATGAACAATAGAACCGGAAAGAGCAATAACCTCATATTGTCCCGGTTGCAGCCACCCGTCATAGTGTTTCCTATTTCAAACTTGATCTGTGCTGTGCGATTCTGTGGTAGATATAACGGCTTAGGGTTGAGTTCTAAGTGAATATTCAAGGGGATGAACATGGCAGGATGGGATGAAAGACAGGGCGACGCTACAGTCATCGATAATTGGAGGAAAACTGCGATGCAGGACTAACGTCAGGAGCCGTCAACAAGCGAGTCATGACTGAGCTATACGGAGTATATATAAAGGGTCATCAACCACCACAAGTGAGTGACAAGGGACTCACAGCCCGGAGGACACCACGGGCAAGATTCGATCATTAATAATGTAAGTTATTTACTATTGGGAACCGGGGAAACGCAAATCATCCCAGAGTCTCAAGACATGCAGCTCCGACTTCATCGCTGGTGTCTCTGCAGTCTGCTCAGACATTGCGTGGCTGAAATTGGAGGACATAGACGTGGCTGTGTGTTTTGGTTGTGGCTTGCATTGTTTGTTTGCTTCGTTTGCTTGTGGGGCGAAACACTCTGGGTTACATAAGCATGGCGGCCAAGATGCTGTTTTTTTGGTCGGTGCCTGAGGCAACTGCGCTGTTGTCCTGCCAACTCCCGGCACTAAGCCACTTTAAGGGCATCACAACATAACACCGGCCACTTAGCGTGCATCGCAGTTGCCCAAACGGTCTCATCGGCCTCGAGCTTTGGCTTTCTCCTCCATCTCGTGCGGTCTCCGAAACATTATCTACTACTCTCTCTCCTCCTCACTTCTACCTCTGCCTAGGGTTTGTTCTTCTTCAACTCCTCGTCCACAATCTCTCCATAATCCGTCCTGTATATCATCCTCTTCCGTAGGCCTTGTTGCCTCTTATCTTTACCCTACTTGCATTGTGTGGCTGAAAGGCCATTCTTCGGGCTAGAGTCGACAAAAGAGCTGGACCATGATTGTTTAGATTGGATACATTGTCATCGACCTTTTCTCTATTATTCTAATCATTGACCGGCCACGAGAAGCACTTCGAGCCGCTGCGGTGCCTCTTTTTGCGAAGAGACCTTATCTTGTCCAGCCCTCACTCCGTTCGGCTGTTCCTCTTATTTAAAGTGCATAAGCTAGCTGCTTTTGAGTGTTTGTCATCTGAAGAGCACAATGTCTGGATATATGGGTGGCCCCGGCCAGGTGATCGAGTATATCCAAGGTTGGTGCTTTTGTTGTTTTGATCCGATCTGTCGAGAAAATGTCCTAGGAGTCCGCCAAGTTGTTTCGTCCAAAATGAACTTCACACTGTCTGGCAAGCTTTCTGATCACTTGAAATCGCAGATCGCCTGTACCTTGCTTCCTACGACTCCGCGCCTGATCCAAAGGCTCCGTTCCCCTTCCCTGTCGAACAATCCAAATCTCCCAGCAAACGATCCGCGCGAGGCCAGCCACAAACGCCTAGCAAGAAGCGGTACCCCGTGTATTTCACCGCAGACGATACTCTTTTCTATAACTCCTTCCATGCAGACTTCGGTCCTCTTCACATAGGACATCTGTATCGCTTTGCGGTCCATTTCCACGAGATCCTTGGCGAACCCGCGAACAAAGATC